TTTTATTATTGGTTCGCCAGATTATACACAGCCGAACATCATGCAGCCAAGCAGTTCATTTGAAATTGATTCGCATGTGAAGGGATATCTGCTTATTTAGATGACTGGAAACCATGCCGGGGAGAAGTTCTGCAAGCAATACTAGAACCAAACAATGCTGTAGATAAATACGCGGTGTGTGTCCTAAAAGATGGTGAAGTGGTGGGCCAGTTGAAGAGAGGAAAACTTGGACGCTTTGCTAAAACAATCTTCTATTTTCATGAAGCAGACCAGCATAGTTCCTGTAGTGTGATCATAAAAGCCGACAAAGCTGTTAACTTTGGGGACGGAGAGGGGATGCAAGTCCCATGTAAGCTGTGAATCTCTGGTCAAGAGAAATTTGTCAACATTTTGAAGAAGGAGTTGGAACGCCTTGAGAAGTGAGCATTATGCAATTGTACTGTTCAGCATCTGAAGAACTCTCCAGCTTAAATGCCTTATGTTTTTTTTACAGACATTTTAATGGATACTTTTTTAATGCACTGTACACTGTAGCACTGTTTCTTTCAAGTTTTGTGACAGCAAATACACCGCATCTGGTATGACTCTTATGATCACATGTAACTGTCAATTACGTGATCTGTTCGTTTGACTCATTAAAATCAAATTGCTCCAGTCTTTGTTCTAGTGTTAAAGTTCGATCACACAATAAGAAAAGCTTATGGGATATCTCAATTGGCCTTCCTGTCGAGTTATAAGAACCAGAAATTCGAGTTATTGGGTTAACTTTTGGTCAAGGGAAGCGAAAATCTGTTCGAGTTAGCAGGGTTTTTGAGTTATCGGGGTTCGAGTTATCTGGGTAAAAATGACTGAAAAGTTAGTTCAAAGTTAGTTCAAATCCAAGGGAATTGAGACTCTGTTCGAGTTAGCGGGGTTGTTCGAGTTATAGGGGTTCGAGTTACTGGGGTTCTACTGTAATACTTTTATTTCTGTAAAATCAACACCAGCTCTGGTATTTTAATACTTCAATGCTGCCTGATATAGAGCTTTGGTAAGGTGTGTTTTGCCAACACCTGCACTCCCACTAAGAAAGCAGTAGAACCGTTCATCAGTTGTTTTTATAAGATGTAAAACATGGTTAAAGAATTCTTTTTGTTTCTTATTCAACATCTGTACGAGGTGTCTATATTCATTATCTTCTAACTCGTTCAATATTAGTGGCTCAGAATTTGAGTCAATAGAGGGAATGCCAATGTCATCTGCAAAATTGTAGTTTTCATTGAAGTCAGGATGTAAATCTCTACTACCTTCAGCTTCATCTTGGAGCTCAACACTTTGAGTAGCAGGTGCTATTGAGTCATAAGAGTCTTCTACACTAGTCATCTCCTGTTCCATTTCATTAAAGTCTTGATTACAGACTGCATATTGTTCCATTTGTTTGGAAATTACATTTGATAGCAGTATATATCGTTCTTTGTAAGAAGAACAAACACCTATTATGTCAGTTTCTTCATTTCTCCAAGGAGTGAAGAGCATAATGAGTTCACGATAGTGCTTTTCTGGTTCCTTTTCTTTATTGAACCAGCAACTTCTTATTATTCTAGCTTTTATTCTTTTCTTCAATTTAGATGGTAGTTTATTAGCGCTCTCATTATCATCATCATTGTTAGTGAGAGATGTCTCTACAGGTAGGTTATCTGTGTCTAATTCATTGGACTGTTTTGCATATGGTTTTCCACATGAATCATACCGTGCAGCCCAGTGAGCAAGCGTCACATGTTCAAACTTAATTGGGCGCTTGGAATATCTTTTTAGCAGACCACCTGTGTAAATCTCTTCACAGTCGTCTTCCATGTCTTTTATATCATTAAGTAGCTTTAAAAGCTCTACTCTGTCCTCTGGCGGTGAGGTATTTATAAACATCACTTCTCGAGAAGCCTTTCTCATTGGAAGTTGCAAAACAATATAAACAGCTTCTTGTGCACTTATTTCAACATTGTTTACAAATTTACTGCCTATGTCTCTGACCTGTTGCTTAATATTAGAATTTCCTTCCCTTGCTTCTGTACAAGCTTGCCGTAAAAGTTTACTCGTACCCTTCTGGGCCTTAGAAATATAATTCACTATGTAGACAGCACATGCATATACATCTAATACATACTGGATATCCATGTTTGCTCTCCATGCACTTAAACAAGCAGGATTATAATTATTGATCCGCAGTTCATTTGGATTTCTTTTCAAAAAGAATGTTGGTGTATTAATTGATGAGCGTATTGCAAGTAAATAGTTTTCTTCTGGGACTTTAAGCTTTAGCAATAATTCATCAAAAGAAACATCTTCACCCTCCTTGATATTATCTAGATACAATTTAATTGATTTCCTTGTGTCCTCGTGTTTTTTGTTTCAGTTTTGGCAACATCAGTGTCTAGAGGATATAGAATTTCTGTTTGTCTCATAGGAGGCTGTGGATAATTGAATCTGCATTCTCGTTTAGTATTCTTGTGACAAATATGCGAGTGTCTGTGTACTTGCCTAGCAACAAGCTTCAGTAGTTCTTCATTGTTCTTAGGCTTTTGACAAGTAATTATGTGATCTATATATGAAGTGACTCTTGCATCACTATCTGTACCAAACTGTGGTGCATCTTTAAGCCGTATAAGCATGTGAATGTGAGGTGAACCTCTTTGTTGGTATTCTACTCTGTAAAACCAGTCAGAGATACTTCCTACTGGTGAAGCAGGGCTTAAGAGGAAGTTTCTAAGAAACTGGCTTATTTGAAGATCAAAATGCCTTGCACAAGTTACAGGATCACTCTGTATTAGTCGACACTTTTCCTCCCAATTCAAGTTCTCTAGTTCATCATCGGTATATTGCTTGTGATCAACAACTTGGCCAAGTATTCTCAGTAGATGTATCCATCGTGTTTCGGCTGACGAGAAGCTACATAACAGTGAAGCTGGACCTAACTGTCTTATCATTGCAAAAAGATCTTTCTTAGCCTTCTCAAAATAGGAAGGTGATCCACGCAATGCTGTTAGAAATTTATATCCCTCGTCATGACGTATTAAGAGTGATGATCAGGAAATATCGACCAAAATCTTAATTTCGTGGCAAGAGTTGAAAAATCGCTTTCTTTCGTTTTTTGTCCATAAATAGCTTTTAGGTAGATAAGATACCTGATGTGGATTGTTCCCGCCAAAAGCTTTTTATTTTTTAGAAAAATTAGAATATCGGTTTTTGTGGTCGGAGTCACAAAATTGGCTAATCATTTATGTGAAATTTGCATACATCAACTTGCCTCTCGTTCGCAAACAAAGTCGCACGGAGAAATTTGGACACTTTAATTCAACAGAATCACTGTTCTTCTTTAACTAGAAGATTCTTTTAGAGCAAAAGCGACACTCACCGAGCAGAAATTATTCAACAATGAGGAATAGGTTTTATGGATAACAAAAACTCCGTTTTCTTATTGATTTTCGACGGCAATATTGCACTGTGGTATAACTCCAAATTGACTTCATTCTAGTTAAATCCCACATTTAGACATACATCTAAAACATACCTGGGAATTAGCTTGGGTTATTGAATGAAATCTCTATAAAAGGCGGTATCAAAGTTAAGGAATTTTCATGGTGGGTCGGCAGTAATTGTGTAAACACTTCCAGTTTTGAAATCCATGAAAGTGGATATTTGATCCCCAAATACTCATTTTTCTTAATCCTTGTAGGTTTTACAGTTGCAAAGTTGCGTTTCTACTTAAAGAGTGAGATAGAAAAGCCAAACTGGGTGAAATTTAGCCATTTTGAAACGCTAAACTCAATCGACCAGAGACTCCGCGTGACAAATTGTTTCGTGACTAAACGTGATATTGGGGAGTCGACCAGTCACGGAATCACAATATTAACACTGCATTTCTTGACGGCATATGAGAACAGTGTAAGGGTATAATTGAATGAGTAAAACAGCAAGTTTTGGAAAATATGGCTCTCAAAACTCGGTTGCCATGGTAACGTCAATGCTGACGTACAAGTCACGACGACTTTAAAATGTCCCCAGATGATTTTTAGGAAACGTCGGTAGGTTTAGTGCTCAAAGCTTGAGCGGTTTTGAAGTTATTCAACTTTTAAGCAAAGGGGGGCTTCAAACCCTTCCCGGTCTAAATAGGGTTAAGGGTGTGAATAAAATAGAAGAACGTCTGGAATGCCACGAGTAAACGTAAAAGCTAAACCTCGCTCAACTTTTACGTTTACGTGCGACCTTTCAAACATTGCCTCTATTTAAATTACGCTCCTAAATGCTACGTGTGTATGCACGTGAAATTTACGCGACAGTGGGAATCCACCCTTATTCACCTACCTAGACGCGAGCAGTAACCAATTAGAGAGCACTCATGTAGTAGGCAGTCGAGTAACATTCAAAATACACTTACGCCAGGCGCGCAACAAAATTATTTCCGTTTTTCACTTTCTTATTTTACCTACGAAATCAGTCTTGAGGTACCGCTTTGCCTCCTTTAAAGCTTCCTTTAGTGTTTTTGCCCATGTAAGACCCATTCCGTTTTCCCCGAGCTGGTGCACAACGTTCACAAGATCTTCAAATGCCTGCGCACCGGAACAG